CCACTGCACTCCAGTCTGGGTGACAGAGTGAGACTCCAACTCAAAAAAAAAAAAAAAAAAAAGAGTTTATTAATATTGATAAACAGAATAAAATAATTGTATGTTTTTCCCAAAAAAAGTAAATAAAATATGGAGAGGGAAAAGGACAGAAATGGAAGCAAAACCCACAATGATTTAAGTATTTATAGTTAGAAGGGAAAATTTCCCCACTGACTCTCCAATTTCCCCTCCCAAAGTAGCCACAGGGAGAGTTCAACAAGTGTGTGTCCCTTGCTGAGAAACATTGAGAGCACACTGGGGAAGCCACCCCACTCACCCCCTCCACCCCGGAGCTGTCCCAGGACTGCCAAAACACCACCCAGACCCGTGTTCAACAAACAAGACAGTACCACACCCCTTGATGAGAGCTGGGCCAGCACCTGCTAGGCAGGCATCCTGTGCTGACATGGTGCCCAGTGTTTCCAGAGCTCAGCTTAGGACTCAACACACTCCTCACATAGCCCCGTGGGTCCCCCTTTACAGATTAGGAAGGGAAAGGTCACACGGAAACCCAGACCTTGAAACCTGAACTTTCCTATGGAAAGACAGGACAAGTAAACACGTACAGACAGGATGGACAGGCAGATAGACGTCCTGGGCAGCATCACAAGTCTGCCGGTTCCCAGCTGCCTCAAGGTTGCATGTACTGGTGGGAGGCTGAGACAACCCCCCCACAACAATTCCATCCACCCTCCGTAATGGGATAGGCAGGGACCCATGGGGTCAGCTGCAGGGCTCCCAGCTCTCCTGCTTTACCTTCGGCGAGTCACTGCCATCCATTTGTTTCCCTCACCTGTGAATTAAGGGAGGGGGACTTCACGTCTTGGAGGGCTCCTTGCTCTGAGGATCTGAGAGGATAAGGACCATGGTGATGACAAACCAACAGCAGACGCTTCCCTCTGGAAGGTGGAACCTTGGCTGGGGAAGGTTTGCCAATGTTCCTCCAGGCAAACACAGAGGGGCTAGGAAATCACCAGCAGGGGCAACCCTTCCGGCCATCAGGAGTGTATTGGTCAGTCACTTAAGCCCCTCAGAGCCTCCGATTTTGCTCAAGGTGGTTGCCCACTTCAAAGGTTGTCTCGAGGATTCACAGAAGTCATGACAATGACGAGCTTCCTCTGCAACCTGCATTCTCAGTGGTGCTCCCAAAAAATGGTGCAAAATTGGGGAGCAAAAAAAATCTTACTCTTTTTTATGTATAAAGCATAGCTGTGGATAGATATACTGCACAAATACACAGCATATCTGCAGTATTAAAACTTCCTGGTAGGCTGCATGAAGAACTCTCATATGCTGCTGGTGGGAATGGAAAATGGTCCAGCCACTGCGGAAAACAACTTGGCCATTCCTCAATAAGTTCAACATAGACTTACCACATGACCCAGCAATGGCATGTCCAGGTAGACACAAAAGAGAATCAAAAATGGGTTTGCAAACAAAAACTTGTAAAATAAACATTTACATCAGCACTATTCACAAGAACTCAAAGGCAGAAACAACCCAAATGCCCATCAACGGATAAATGGATAACCAAACCATGGTCTACCCATACAGTAGAATACTCTTCTGCCATAAAAAAGAAGAAAGCACTGATGCGTAGTGCAACTTGGATGACTTTGAAAACATGCTGAGTGAGAGAAGCCAGACACAAAAGACCACAGGTTGTAGGATTCTATTTTTATGAAATGTCCAGAACAGGCAAATTCATAGAGCTAGGGAGTAGGGTACTGGTTGCCTGTGGTTGCTGAGGAGGGGAGATAGGCAGGGACCACTCATGAGTGCGGGGTTTCTTTTTGGGGTGATGAAAACATTCTGGAATTAGACCGTGATGGCTGCACAAATTTGTGAATATACTAAAAGCACTGCAAAATCACACGTTTTAAGTGTTAATGTCATGATATGTGAATAATATGTCAATGAACCTGTTATTCAAAATTTTTCAGGAATGTCTACAAACACACCAGGGGTAGAAGAAAGAGCAATAATGAATTATGAAGGTTGAGAGGCCCTAACTCGAGCCCTCTCACAAAGAGCATCAAATACACACTTCAGTGGTGGTGTTTTTATTATTGTTACAGATCTGTAATCTCTTACCTGAAGCCCTCAGGGTCAGGTATATTTCTCAATTTAGAACTTTTTGGATTTTAGGACAATACTATGGTTCACACACAAGAAAGTTTGGGACAGAACCCAGTAAACCAATATTAAAATTTCTGCAGGGAACAGATGTGTGCTCACAGTCAGTGAAGTAAATAAGGTCCTCACTGTTGCTATGTTGGGGTGTTTCCCCCAAAGTTGACATGTTAGAAACTTAATACCCAATGCACCAGTGCTGAGAGGCAGGGCCTTTAAGAGGCAGATCCCTCATGAATGAATTAATGCTGGTATTATGAACATAGGCTTCTGATAGAGGAATGGGTTCAGCTCCTTCCTTTCCCTCTCTCTCTACTTCTCCCTTCCCCTCTCCCTCTCTCTCTCTCCTTATGTCTCCCTCTCTGTCTCTCTCTCCCCCTTCTCCTTCTACCATGGGATGATATAGCAAGAAGACCCTCACCAGACACAGCCCTTTGCTCTTGGGCTTCCCAAAACCAGGAGCCAAATAAATTTCTTTCCTTTATAAATTACTAAGTCTCAGATGTTCCATTATAGCAACACAAAACAGACTAAGACTGTTAAACCCAAAATTCAAAATCCGAGAGACCACCAAAGAGCCAGCTCTGATGCAAACACACAAGGGTCTTTATTCAGGCTCGAATCTGGGCTCATGTACGAAGCCGGCTGTGGCTTCAGGGACGAGAGCCCCGATCCAGTATGGCAAGCAGTTTTTATACATCATTACAGAGGGAGGGGAAAGAACTTTAAACTTGGTTTTACATGATTGGGTAATTTCTCCTAATGGGTACGGGAACACTTGGGATTGGTAGGTGCCTTTCGTGGGCTTCAACCTGACTGCCCGTGATTGACAGAAACCCACTTAATGGGCAGAGTGGAATGTCAGATAAGTTAGGTTCATACAGTCACTGCGTATAAATTAACTTGAGCAAGCAGGCAGGGGTTACTAGCACCTCCAAGTCTGCTGCAAAGGAATGTCTGAAAGGGACTTATCGCTTTAACATTTACATCCCATTGTAAAAGCAGAAGTCAGCATGGCAATTGGAACTAACAATACTTAACCCAAGAGTTCTAAATACAAACACTACTTAAGACATTATATAACTACACAATCAGTCACTACCCGGCACCCGACATATGCCTAATTCTATGGGGTCTGAGGTAGGATTTAAAGTACTAAGATTTCATAAAGTACAATGAACATGAGGTAGGAATACATAAAATATAGTGAACTAAACACTACTTTTACAGCAAGTATGGCTTTTTAAGTTTCTTGGTTTCTTGGGTCTCTCAAGACATGGTCAATATAGTGGTTACATGTGACCACTGAGCCCTTGAAATGTGGACCATCCAAACTAAAATATGCTGTGAGCCTGGTGTGGTGGCTCACACCTGTAATCCCAGCTACTTGGGAGGCTGAGGTGGAAGGATTTGTTGAGGCCAGGTACTAGTTCAAGGCTGCAGTGAGCAATTATAGTGCCACTGCACTCCAGCCTGGGCAACAGAGCAAGATCCCATCTCTAAAATAAAGTAATAAAAAGAAATGTGCCATAGGTGTAAAACACCCATTTTATATATTGTGTGACCTAGTACGAGAAAAACAAAAATTAATCATTTTTATACAGATTATATGATGAAATAATAATATTTTAGGTACTGGGTAAATCTAAATAGATCATTGGAATTAATTTCACCTGATTATTGCTGCTTTTTAAATTGTGGCTACTAGAGAATTCTGGAGTGCATAGCTCACCTTGGGAGCGTCAACTCTATACCTCCTGGCTGGTGACCCCTCAGAAAGCCTGCCGCTGTTCAAGGTGGGTATGCTGTTCAATGAGTTTGTTTCCAGCTTACTTAAAACAAACGCAACAACGTTGCTGTTCTGGGCTTTGAATTTCTGAGTGGAGTTGCAATTGCTAGATCTAAGATCTCGTCTGTGAGCCTAGCGAACGGAGCCAAGAAGCACAGGGGGGACGCCCCTGCTAGCCTGCGGCCAGCGGGCTCCATGCCCAGGACTGGCCTGACCACGGCCCCTGGCCATCCGCCCCCTGCAGCCACCCTTCCCAGAGCCCTTGCCAGGCCACCCCAGGCTTCTGGGCAGCCCTGCCTGGTCACTGTCTTCAGATCTGCCAGGGAAAGAGGGGGAGGAGGGGGCAGGAGGCGGCCGTGCGGGGCCCCAGGCTGGGCCAGATCTCCTGCGCTGAGCCTGAGACCAGTCATGGCCAGCCTGTGGCTGCCGTTCTTTCTCGTACTGATCGCACCGCCACCGATGCGGCCCTCCTCCTTGCCCTGGCAGGACACCACAGAGGGCAAGGCTACTATCGCGGGCCAGATCCTGTCTGCGCTGGAGAGAGCCGCCTTCTTCCTGGAGGAGCGGCTCCCGGAAATCAACCTGGACGGCATGGTGGGGGCACGGGTGCTGGAAGGTGGGTGAGACCCCGTGCCCCTGGACTGGCCCCTGGGAAAGCCGCTCTCAGCTCTGTCCCCTGTCCTGCTTTGCATGCCTGGGACCTGGGGGACTCCTGGCCCCAGAATAGCCTGTCTTGGCTCTAGGGAGAGCCTGTCACATGTTTGGAGGTAGGAAGGATTTCATGGAAACATGGGGAAATAGTTGGAAATAGTTATTTTCTTGGAAAGAGAGGATTTATGTGACATCCCTTCCAGTCTTGCAGCAAACAAGGAGGCAGAGAGCGTGCCCTTGTAGGGGTATTGATGGGTGGGCATTCCCCTTGCATGAGGGCTGCTACAGACAGACCAGATTCCAGCCCCCCTTCCTCCACACCCAGCCAAAGCCACCTGGAGAGTCTGAGCAAACAGCCTCGTGTTTGTTTAGCTTTGAGAGATATAAGATCCTGGAGGAGGGGGTTGGAGGCCGGCCAAGGCAAACACACACACACCCCCAGGGAGCTGCAGTGGGTCCCTCCCGCAGGCCACCTCACCCATGTGACAGAGACCCCGGGCTTGGTGTCAGCCTGGCTCCGGCGGGGCCACCACCCCCAGGTGGGGTAGTGGGCATTGCACCATCACCCTCCCTGTGTGGCCAGCACAGCTCCCGCCAGCAAGTCCCCACCGGGATGCAAGCGCCGCAGGGACCCTGGGCCGGTCTGCGCCCTCGTGGTCTCGTGGCCTTCCCGGAGTCCTCTCCCATACACGGCCCCCAGGGGCATCCTACCCCTCCCCTCCTGGCCAGGCCTGGGGTGAAGCCCGAGACATACCGAGTCTCCATCTAGTCCCTGCCTGGCCTCAAAACTCCTCCAGAAATGAACCATCATCATCATCACACAGCCCAGCTTTCCCAGCAGGAATGGCGGGCACTGCCGAGGGCCCACAGTGCTCTTGAGACCCGTGAGAGTGGTTTTTGTGGGTGGGGGAGGGGAGATTTGGAGTTTTTGTGAAGGCTTTTTTGGTATTTACTTTTTTTTTTTTTTTTGAGTTGGAGTCTCACTCTGTCACCCAGACTGGAGTGCAGTGGCCGCTCTCGGCCACCGCAGCCTTGATCTGCTGGGCTCCGGTGATCCTTCCGCCTCAGCCTTCCAAGTAGCCGGAGTTACAGGCGCGTGCTACCACGCCTGGCTAATTTTTTTTTTTTTTTTTTTTTGAGTTGGAGTCTCACTCTGTCACCCAGACTGGAGTGCAGTGGCTGCTCCCAGCCACCGCAGCCTCGACCTGCTGGGCTCCGAGATCCTTCCGCCTCAGCCTTCCAAGTAGCTGGAACTACAGGCGTGCGCTACCACACCGGCTAATTTTTTTAATTTATTGTAGAGATGAGGTCTCGCCAAGTTGCCCAGGCAGGTCTCGAACCTGCGGGCTCAGGCAATCCACTCACCTCAGCCTCCCAAAGTGCGAGATTACAGGGTAAGCCACCGAGCCGGCCAGGTATTTACTTATTTATTTATTTATTGAGGTAGGGTCTTGCTCTGTCACCCAGGCTGGAGTGCAGTGGCATGATCCCAGCTCACTGAAGCCTCGACCTCCTGGGCTCAGGCAATCCTCCCACATCAACCTCCTCAGTAGCTGGGACCTGTAGGTGTGCACTACCACACCTGGCTAATTGTTTGTTTTTCATAGAGACAGGGGTCCTGTTATGTTGCCCAGGCTGGTCTCCAAGTCCTGGCCTCACAATCCTTCCATCTCAGCCTCCCAAAGCACTGGGATTACAAGCATGGGACCCCACACCTGGCCCCAAAATGTTTTAATTTCTTTCTACATCAGAAGAAGAAAAAAAAAAAACTTTGGGGTAGAAGAAAATGTTTTCATATATAATATAACTATGTCCATCCTTATGTCATCTCGGTTGTGCAATGGCATCTTTAATGCTTTTTTTTTTTTTTTGAGTTGGAGTCTCACTCCATCGCTCTGGTGGGAGTGCCGTGACACATGCACGGCCACTCCAGCGTCTACCTGCTAGGCTCTGGTGATCCTTTCGCCTCAGCCTTCCAAGTAGCCAGAACTACAGGTGTGTGCTACTGCGCCCGGCTAATTTTTTATCTATTGTAGAGGTGAGGTCTCCCCAAGTTGTCCAGGCTGGTCTCAAACCCGCGGGCTCAGGCAATCCACTCGTCTCAGCTTCCCAAAGTGCTGGGATTACAGGCTAAGCCACCGAGCCTGGCCTTTAATGCATTTTTTAATGAAGGAGGGACCCACAAAGGCCAAAATGTGGCCTTGCAAACAGGCGCTAGGGGCTCCCTGGGCACCTGCCACATGTAATGGGCCAAGCAGCTTACAAAGGGTATTCTGTTTTCCTCATTCCGCAGGTGAGGAAACTGAGGCAACTTGAGTCCCTCCCTCCTTTTCCTCCCTACAGCAGACCCTGTCTCCTTAAGTAACGCTAATGGCTAAACTTTGCTCACGGCTTCCTTTGCACGATGGATAACACTAAGTCCTCTCTGCACCTAGCTCATTTCATACTTACAGCCCCCCTCTGAGAAGGAAGGACTGTCATTATCCCCACTTTACAGTTGGAGAGAAATCAAATTACTTTCTCTGGTCACCCGACAAGAAAGCATTAGAGTCAAGATCTGAACCCAGGCTACCCTCCGGAGACCAAGCTCCTAGCCACCCTCCTACCACTCAGACCCGCACCCCCATCATCCAGATCAGCCCACACAGGCCTAGCTGCAATCAGCTCTGCAAATCCTCACCCCTAGTGGGCTGGGAAGGCAGAGAGGGTCCCAGCAAGCATTGGGACTAGGATGCTTTTTCCTGTCCAAATGCGTGGTCAGATGGCGACATGAGCACCCTCTGCTTTCCCCAGAGCATCTCAGGAGTGTCCAGGAGGAATGGGCCCAGGACACCCTGCTGCAGCCGCTGGGCATGCGCGTGGGGACACTGGCCGCGAAGCTAGAGGCGCTCATCCAACAGTCCCTTTTCTACCTTAGGCAGAGTGACCCCGAGTACCTGAGAGGTAAGCACGTGGGGTGGCCTCCTGTCTCTTCAGGGACGCAGCCTCAGGGGATAGTCCCTGAAATAACCCAGCGTGGGTTTCCCTTGGGGTAAGGCGGGTCGGGACAGTCTGTGACCGGCTGCGCAGGGGGACCCTGAGAACATGCAGCCATCCTTGACCTTGGATATGAGCGACCTCTCCCCACTGCGCAGAGGGGTGAGAAAGCGGCGTGTCTCCCCTCATGTGTCCAGCTCAGCCCCAGCTCAGGCCTTCATCCTAGACCAGGGCGGAGGGGCTAGTCTGTCCCGGGGGTGGGACTGTCGAAAAGGCCACTGGACCCTTTGCACAGCCAACATGAGCGTCTTACTAGCCTCTGTCCTGTGCCTTATAATGCCGAATCTCTCTCCACCAGCCATGCCTGACGCTTTGCAAGGGCTCCAACCGATAAGCCTGGTCTGAGCTGTTCCCGGGGAAGGGAGTCACAGATAACCAGCCCTTCGTGGGGGTCCAACCTTGTCTGCCCAGCTCCCGGTTCCCCTCATATGGGGTGTGAGCAGGGAGATCACCACCCAGGCCACACTTCAGGCAAACAGAGCAGCCAGGTACAGGTGACCGTACCCCAGCTCTTCCCAGCACAGGTCTGCCTCCGGACCTCTGAGGTCCCGCCCTCTCCCAGGCCTGGTTCTGACACCTTCCTACCCTATGTCATCCTAAAGAAGCCCCATGGCCAGGTGTCTTTCTGTAAGAGCCACTTTCTCACCAAGCCAAGGGAGTGTACTCATTTTTTGTTTTTTAGAGATAGGGTCTCACTCTGTTGTCCAGGTTGGAGTGCAGTGCAACCTCAATCTCCTGGTCTCAGGCAATCCTCCCAAATAGCTAGGACTAGTGGCACGTGCCACCACTCCCAGCTAATTTTAAAGTTTTTTTGCGGAGACAAGGTCTCACTATGTTGCCAGTGCTGGTCTCAAACTCCTGGGCTCAAGCAATCCCCCCACCTTGGCCTCCCAAGGACCAGGTCCAGCCTACTAACACTTTCTGTATATCTGGAGCTTCCTATTGATTAGGGGGGAGATGGGATTTTTTAGGAAAAGGAGATTCTTGAGTGTTTCAAATCCAATTCTGGACCAGCAAACAGGGCTTAGAGCTGGGGGCAGTACCTGAGTATGTGGGAGGTCAGGGACACCCAGTTCCTCTGCTGGAGCCCCTGGACCCAGGAGAAGGACGTGGAAGGGGGCTTCTTCTGGGTCACCCCCGCATCCCACCCCCTCTTCTTCGCCAGAGTTCCAGCCTACCCTGCAGCCCGGCTTCTGGAAGCTCCCGCACGCCTGGAGCCTCACCAATGCCTCCTTGGTGTACCCCACGTTCGAGGCCCAGGACTCCTTCTCAGAGGAGAGCAGCGACACGTGCCTGGTGCAGCTGCTGGGAACTGGGTGGGTCCTGCACCCGGCCGCTCTGAGAGCCAAACGTGCTCGCCCCCCAAACCCCAAGGAAGCCAAGGGCTGTGCAAACCCGCATGCAATCCCAAGGGAGCCTCGGGCACTGCCATGCACACCCACCAGGGTTGCCCCTCTTGTCAGTGCCCCCTGACTCCCGGGTCTCACACCCTAGCCAGATCCTTGCACCCAGGCTGCCCCTCTCCCACCTGGGTGGTCCCCCCACCCAGAATGCCGTCCCCACCCAGGCCACTCCCTACATCCTCCCCAATCCTGCGCCCAGGGCCGTCCCACTCACCCACCCATACCCCCAGCCCCATGCCTGGGCCTGAAGGCGCCACCTCTGGGACAGAACTTCCTTGCCTCCCACGGATCCCAGGACAAAGCCCTCAACTCCTCGTCCTTCCGGGTTCCCAGAGCTTTGGATTCGGTCCCTAGGGCTCTTTTCAGCCTCAAAAGCACCAGCTCCTTACCTTGCCCGCCCTGCAGGGTCAGCCAGCTTCTGCCTCTGGGAGCCTTCCTCACCCCATGCTCCTGGCAGACTCCGAGATGGGCTCTCCCAGCACCCCCTGCAGCCACAGACATAGTTTACGTTTGTGTCACGGGCCTGTCCCCGGCGGGGCTGTGGGTCCGGGAAGGCAGACCTGAGTCTTGTGCGGATCACCACGGCTGCGAGGGCTTGGTGCGAGGCCCAGGGCCGGCCTGAGTGCGGGGCCCAGGGCGGGCCATGAGTGCGGGGGAAGGTGCCTGGGCCATGAGTGGCTGGGACCATGAGTGGCCTGGGCCATGAGTGGCTGGGCCATGAGTGGCCTGGGCCATGAGTGGCTGGGCCATGAGTGGCCTGGGCCATGAGTGGCTGGGAAGGTGCCCTAGAGAGTTGTTGGGGCAGGACACGGTTGGGCTGTGATGGGCGGTGCCCCAGAGAGAGGTCCCTGCTTTTCTGAGGGGCAAGCGAGGCCCAAGAAGCTCCCCCAGCCCCAGCAACCTCTCCCCGTGCCAGTAGTGCTAGATTTCGCCAGTTGAGTAGGGAACACCTGTGCTTTGGCGACCCCTGTACCCAGCTGGGTGCCTGGAACCTACAACTAGTGGGAAAATCATGATCCGGGAGATGCAGGGCGGGGAGGGGGCACTACCTTAACCGCCTGGAACCACTGCTCCTCCAGGACCCACAGCAGCCAGCCCTGCGAGCCCTCGGATGCCTGCGCGAGCCTCATGACCAAGCCCGGCTGCTCAGGCTACTGCTTGTCCCACCAGCTGCTGTTCTTCCTCTGGGCCAGAATGGTGAGTGCCCAGTGAAGGGAGGGAGAGGTGAAAAGGGCTCATGGTGGGACCATCAGCAGCTTCTCCAGTTCATACCTGGGGCTTCAGGAAGGAGGAGGGAGTAGCCTGCCAACCTGCTGGTAACTGAGTGGTTATATAGCCGTGGAGGGTGAGGAGGAAAGGACTGGAAAGACAGATAGCTGTGCGTTCTGACCTGTCCTCAACTCTGTTCTCCTCTCGCAGTGTGGGGTAGTGGCCAGCCCAGTCCACCACCCACTCTGTGTAGCCCTGAAGTGGCCACAGGGTTAGTCCCTGTTATTGTGCGTCCACCCCACCTGTGGGTGTAGAGACCTCCTGGTGTGGCGGGTCTCACCTGGGCACATCTAGCTGTATCATCCACTCACGGGAGATCCCTCTAATGCAGCTCCTAGTGACCATGGCCTTGTCCTTTCCACCAAAAATACTTGAGGCTCAGAAAGTTTAATTTAGTGGGCCAAGGTCACACAGCTCCTGAGAGGCGTAATCAGAACTCGAACTCACCTTCAATAGGCTGGGGGTGGGGAAGAAATCCCAGAAAAAGGAAGAAAGACTTGCCTCAAAGGTAGCCCCTTGCCAGACCATCTCAGAACTGCAAGACTTGTCCATAACAGAGTGTCTGTCTGTCTTCTGCACCCCCGACCTTCTTGTTTCCGGGTGTTTGTCCCCCAGAAGGGCTGCACGAAGGGACCATTCCGCCAGAGCCAGCACCACATCCGCGTTTTCTGCGCTAACATGATGGACCTAAATCGAAGAGCCGAGGCCATAGGCTATGTCTACCCCACCCGGGACATCTTCATGGAAAACAGTGCGCCTGGCATTCTGCCCTTGGGACAAAGGAGCAGGCGCCCCTGCCCCTCCCCACCACACACAGGGTTACCAGATTATGCAAGTAAAAATACAGGGTGTTCGGTTAAATCTGAACTTCAGATAAGCAATAAATACATTTGTAGTATAAGTGTAGCCCAAGTATTGTGTGGGATATACTTATACTAAAAAATTTTACTTATTGTTTGAAAATTGTATTCAAAAATTTAAATGTGCTGGGTGTGGTGGCTCATGCCTGTAATTCCAGCACTCTGGGAGGCCAAGGCTGGAGGATTGCCTGCCCCCAGGAGTTCGAGACTGGCCTACACAACATAACAAGACCTCATCTCTATAAAAAAATCAAAAAAAGTAGCTGGACGTGGTGGCACACACCTGAAGTCCTAGCTACTCAGGAGGCTGAGATGGGAGGATCACCTGAGCCCAGGAGGTTGAGGCTGCGGTGAGCCATGAGCATGACACTGAACTCCAGCCTAGGCGACAGAGTGACATCCCAACTCAAAAGAAACCCAAAACACTCGAAGGTACCTGGGCATCCTGTATTTTATCCAAAGGCTGACCCAGTCATGGAACTCTGGACAGACAGGCTGACCAGCTGACTGGTACACAGACCTGCAAAGCCTTAGAGAGGAGGCAGAAAGGGAGGCCTGGGCAGTGACTCCCTGGCCTGGGGCAGGGAGTCCAAATCTCTCCCCCGACTCTGACTTTTGAGCCCTGAGAGGGAGGTGGGACAGGGACCCTGAGAGGGAGGTGGGACAGGCCTGGGAGTCCCCAGTTGCCAAGGCAGAGACTCAGGTGGCCTCCCTCCAGCCCTGGGGAGTGGGAGGAGATGAGCCTGAGTGGAAGGCCTGCAGAGGACCCCGTCTTTGCTTCCAGTCATGTTCTGTGGAATGGGCGGCTTCTCCGACTTCTACAAGCTCCGGTGGCTGGAGGCCATTCTCAGCTGGCAGAAAAAGCAGAAAGGATGCTTCGGGGAGCCTGGTGAGCTGTGCTCCTGCTCAAGCTGGGAGAGGGTGTCAAGGGGGGCTGGGTTTCTTGGACAGGTGGGGAAGTGGGGCTTTGGTGTCGGGGGTGCTGAGACAGCTTTGTAAGGTGTTTGCACTCATACGCAGACACGCACACAAGGGAAATGGCCCCGTCTCTGTGAGACAGGAGATGTCTCGTTGGAAGATGTTGGCCCCTCAGACTTGCATTAACAAGTCCATTCATTCAGCAAGGATGTTCTGAGCATCTACCTTGTTTGTTTGTGTGTTTGTTTTGAGACAGGGTCTCGCTCTGTCCCCCACGCTGGAGTACACTGGTGTGACTGCAGCTCACTGCAGCCTCCAACTCCTGGGCCCAAGCGGTCCTTCCACCTCAGCCTCCCAATTAGCTGGGACTACAGGTGTGCGCCACTGTACCCAGCTAATTTTTAAAAATTATTTTGTAGAGACAGGGTGTTGCTTTGTTGCCCAGGCTGGTCTCAAACTCCTGGCCTCAAATGATCCTCCCACCTCAGCCTCCTAAAAGTGCTGGAATTACAGGCATGAGCCACTGCACTCAGCTAAATAGTCTGTTTTACTTATTTATTTATTTATGTTAGAGTCTCACTCTTTGACCATGCTGGAGGGCAGTGGCACACTCACAGCCACTGCAGCCTCAACCTGCTGGGCTCAGGCAATCCTTCCACCTCAGCCTTCCAAGTAGCTAGAACTACAGGCACATGCCACCATGACCGGCTAATTTTTTAATTTATTGTAAAGATGAGGTCTCACCAAGTTGCTCAGGCTGGTCTCGAACCCCTGGTCTCAGGCAATCCTCTCACCTCGGCCTCCCAAATTAGTGGGATTATAGGTGTGAGCCACTGCACCCAACCTTAAATTGAAGATTCTTAGGCTCCAGATCCATTGAGTCAGCAGGTCGGGGTAAGGCTGTGGAACTTGCATATTTTTTCCTTTTATTATTTTTTTAAGTAGACATACACTAATTTCACATATTTGTGGGGTAGAGTGTGATATTTTCATACAGGTATACAATGTATAATGATCAAGTCAAGGTAATGAGCATATTCATTACCCCAACATGTATCATCTCTTTCTGTTGGGAACATTCAAAATGTGCTCCTCTAGCTATTTGCAAATATACAATAAGTTGCTGTTAATTCTAGTCCCCCTGTTGTGCTATAGAACACTAGGACTTATCCCTCGGTCTCACTGTCATTTCGTATCTGTTAACCAACCTCTGGTCACTTCCCTTCCTGTCCCCCTCCCCACATCAGTAGCCATTATTTGACTCTCTGCTTCTATGACATCAACTTTTTTTGCTTCCATATAGGAGTGAAAATATCAGAATTTCTCTTTCCGTGTCTGGCTTATTTCACTTAACATAACGTCCTCCAGTTCCCTCCATGTTTCCGTCAATGGCAGAATGTCATTCTTTTTCCGGCTACAGAGTCTTCTGTAGTGAATATACCACGTTTTCTTTATCTATTCATCTACTGATGGACTCCGGGGTTGATTCTGTATCGTGGCTACTGTGCATAGCGCCGCGATCAACATTGCCTTGTTACCTTGCCCAGGTTTTCTCTGGTGATGGATTTGATCATTTTCTCTTTCTCCTTTATGTATCTGTTTTACCAGGGAGCTTTGAACTTTTTTGTGTTTTCATGATAGTGATCATTGCCTTTTTGCTTACAGATGTAGGGTTTCCTTGAGCATTTCTTGTAAGACCAGTCTGTGGGTGATGATTTCCCTCAGGTTTTGCTTATGACGGTGGGTGTTTGGCAGCCACCATTTGAGAAATCATCCTGTAGATGACAAACCTAGACCATGTGGAAGGAGCTGCAGACCAGTGCAGGAGGAAACCTCTGAGATAGCCTCGAGGTTCAAAATAAGACCTGAAGTGCTTGAAGTGTTGTGAGGCGGGAGAGGTTTCATGAGTCACATTTATAAACCTATCTTGAGAAGTTCACCTTTTGCTCTTCTCCCAGATGCTGAAGATGAAGAATCATCTAAAGCTATTCAATACCAACGGCATCTTTTGAGGAGAGTGAAGAGGCGTGAAAAACAATTTACAGGTAATGAAAATACCCAAGAGACCGTCTTGGCATTGAACAGAGACACCCTAGCAAAACAAAGACCTGCGTCTGTTCATTCTCTTCTATACTGAGGCTGCCCTCAGTGTGAAAAAGACCTCTGGTGTCATTGAGAGACACGTATCAGAGGGTCTTCATGTTTGGAAGGTGAAGGGAAGGGGAGGCATCTCTGATGGCCTCCTCTTAGAAAGTGAGGAGTCAGCCAGGCTCGGTGGCTCAGCCTGTAATCCCGCGCCTTTGGGAGGCTGAGGTGAGTGGATTGCCTGAGCCCGCGGGTTCGAGACCCACCTGCTCACAATAAATCAAAAAATTAGCCAGACGTGGTAGCGCGCACCTGTAATTCCGGTGACTCAGAAGGCTGAGGCGGAAGGATCGCCGGAGCCCAGCAGGTCGAGGCTGCGGTGGCCGGGAGCCACTGCACTCCAGTCTGGGCAACAGAGTGAGACTCCAACTCAAAAAAAAAAAAAGAAAGAAAGAAAGTGAGGAGTCCAGAGATATTGTCTCTAGTTAAGGGAGTGTAAAAGAGAAGTTTCAGAGTGTTGTTGAAAATTACAAAAATGACCTTTCCCAGTTGAGGTCTGGTCAGGAAAATAGAACCTATGCCAGGAACCTCCACAGAAAGAACTTAATCTAGGGAACTTGTCTCAGAGGTGTCAGAAGACCTAAACACAGAAGAGGTGATAAAACCTGGAGATTAATCACTGTAGAAAGCCACTACCCTCCCTCTCTAGAGCTGAGGGATGAGAGGAGGAAGAGGTGGCACCAGCAGAGCATACAGAAGTTGGACATGGAGGAGATAAGGAGGAGAGGAGAAACATGCTCTGTACCTGTTGGTCCAGTCGACCCAGAAGGTGGAGGTCAAGGCAGCCTGGAAAATGGAGTTTGGAGGGAATCGTGTGGTGGGGTATGGAACAAGGAGAGGCCAATGGACAAGTGACTAGAACGGTCATGGTGGCCACATGGCCCAGTGTTCACCTGTTGTCCTAGAGTCATTATGAATAGTGCCCCTGGTTGTGATGCTAAGTTGAATGGCCAGCCCACCAATGCAGAGGAACTGAGAAGAGGATATAACTGTTGGGAAGGGAAGAAAAGCAAGAAATAATGTGGGAGGGAGGGAGAACTTTTATTTCAACTTCTCATTAATAAAAAATAACTACCGGGAAAAGCAGGAAGGGAGGTGGAATAGCCAGCTCACAGAGGAGACACCCAGCGCACACTGCTAAATGACTCGAGTAACTAAGCATCTCTCCATCAACTGCACCGTGGCCTTATCATCTCCCTGCAGGTGGACAGGAGAGGCCAGTGGAGGCACAAATGCAATGGTCCATTTTGGTAGCTGCCACCAAAGGCCACATGTGGGAGGGCAGCGAAGTTCCCAGGAGATCAGCAGAGGCCCTGCCAGGCTTGGCCTTCCTGGTGCAGAGCAGGCTGGGGCTGTGGGCGGTGGGAACAGGAATCTGCTCCTCACTCCCTGGGCATGAGGACTATTCCTAGGGCCAGAGTGGGGGCCGCAGGAAGCCCAGAGCCTGAGGCCTCTCCTGGGGCTGCTTCAGGTTGACCAGCAGCCTAGAAGTCTGCCAGGTGCGGCATGTTGTTCCTGCCCTTAAGACATACCCTCACGGAGCAGGAGGCCGCCAGCAGAAACTAGGAGCTCAGGGTTTGAGGTCAGGCTCTCTGGGTTTGAATCTGACTTCCACCCTTTACTCCCCGTGGGAGTCACTCAACCTCATCTGTAAAATAGGCACCAAACTGTTGGGGGCTAAAACTGATCAGTGATGAGGGGGCACCAAAAGGCGTGAACTGCGAGGGTAAGTAACTTGGCATCTCGAAATATGCATTCTCGGCTGGGCTCAGCCTGTAATCCCAGTAATTTGGGAGGCCGAGGTGAGTGGATTGCCTGAGTCCGCAGGTTCAAGACCAGCCTGGGTAACTTGGAAAGACCTCATCTCTACAATAAACAAAAAATTAACCTGCCGTCATCGTGTGCGCCTATAGTTCCAGCTACTTGGAAGGATCAATGGAGCCTAGCAGGTCAATGCTGGGGCAGCCATGAGCATGCCACTGCACTCCTGCCTGGGCAACAAAGGGAGACTCCAATTCAAAAACAAAAAGAAAAGAAATCTGCATTCCCTCTCCCACCAAGGGAATGGCTGGGGTCTTTCCCTTCTCAGAGGCTTTGAGTAGGAAGGAAAGTCGTCATGGCTCCCTCCCATGACAAACTGGGTGAAGAGGCTAAAGGTGTGCAGCCCACCTTGAGCTCAGAGAACAAAAGACATTGTCCAAGGGGGAGAGGCTTAAGCCCGAGACTCTGACTCTGTGAGGTGTGAGTTCACATGGACTGGACTGGCTAAGGCAGCTATGAGAGGTGCTTTCAGGGTCAAGAAATGAGCTGTGCAGTCACCAGGCCCAGGAGCTCATCTTGATGACCTGTGCCTCAGTTTCCCTATCTAAGGTCTTATTCAGGGCCTGAGATGATGGGATTCTGGTGCATCCAGGGAGCAGGCTAAGGGGGGAATTGGACAAGGATGTGGCCTGAGATCAGACCCCACATGGGGATTGGAGGGGGATAGTTCAGAGTGTAAATGGCACCCCAGAGTCATCCCCCTGAGATAAGGTGGGGCTTTGTGTCCCTGCGTTAGTAAGTCCCTTAGGAGGGGCACACCTCCCAGATGAGGAAGCTCCAGCCAGGTGGAGGAGGGAGCTCTTAGCAGCCAACACTCCCAGCAGCTGGTGGATGGGTGCCCAGCTCAGCTTTGGGGACCCAAGGGGCCACCGAAGTGTCCACACAGTACCCTGCAAGTTGGCAAGGATGAGATAGCATTCACAAAGGAACTGTGTTAAATAGAGTGTCAAGGCTGCCACCATCTGGCACTAATGGGGGCTCTCTCCTCCAGATGGCTGTTCCTCCCATAACACGGCTACAGCAGTGGCAGCCCTGGGTGGCTTCCTCTACATCCTGGCAGAATACCCCCCTGCAAGCAGACAGCAGCATCCATCCACACTGCCACCTCCACGCCGCTGAGACAGATGCTCTTGTGCCTGCTCTCTGGAAGATGAACAGACCCCTTTGGTCCTTTCTCCCTAGGTCTCAGGGTCCTGGGTCACCACCTGGGAGGAGGAAACTAAAGAAAGGGATGGGCGAAGTGGCCCAGCTGCACCAGCTCGGGTTGCTTGAAAACCCCAGTAGGCAGGACCCAGGTGGGTGGATGAGACCCAGGGAGGACCCAGATGTGCACAGATGAATAAACTTAAGAGTGCAGTTGACATGGAGTTGAGTCTTGTTTCTCAGCCTTGAGAACAACCTTGGACAACCTCTAAGCTCTGTTTCCAGTCTCCAATTCCAATCAATACGAATTCTAAAGAGACCTTTAAACTGGCGTCTCAAAGGCAGTTCAGATGTCAAGCATTGCCGTTTTCCCAGTGGGAGAAGCAAAGAAAAGAGTTCCAGTCATGAGCTGGGACTCGAGAGTTGACCGTGGGGCCGGGTGTGGTGGCTCATGCCTACAATCCCAGCACTCTGGGAGGCCGAGGCAGGAGGATTGCTTAAGACCAGGAGTTCAAAACAAGCCTGAACAACATAGCAAGACCCTGTTGCTACAAAAAATTGTAAAAAATAGCCAGATGGCAGGTGACTGTAGCCCCAGCTACTCAGGAGACTAAGACAGGAGGATCATTTGCATTCGGGAGGTAGAGGCTGCAGTGAGCTATGATCATGCCATCACACTCCAGCCTGGGCAACAGAGCAAGACTCTGTCTCTAAAAAAAAAATAAAGAGATAACCACGAAAGGCAACCCAAACTCATCTTTATATCCCATGTCTCTGTGCCACACTGCCTTTGTAAAACGTCATCACTGTGACTGTGTGATTCTGTGCCCTGGCTGCCTGAATTCAAATCCTAGTTCTCTGTGTCCTTGAGCGAAGTCACTAACTTCTCTGGGACTCAGACATCTCATCAGTAAATTGGGATAACAATAGCCTCTACCTCAATGATACGTCTGCTGCTGGAAGGATTATGTTTGCGGAGTACTGAAAACAGTGCCTGTGACTGTAAGAACCAGGTGAGTGTTCCTGTGTCCACAAGGTGATGATGTCAAATGTGACATTAATTGAGGCGTGGGGAGGAGGTGAGGGGAAGTTTCCCCTGGAAGCAGCCAGAAGGGGCTGCTGACTCATCACCATTTCTCCTCTCAGTTTTTCTCACTCTGGCTCCCAGTTCTTCCCTCGTGCTCTGACTCAGCGTGAATATGTCTAGACGCGTTGGTTGAAGTGTTGCCGCCAACAGAGATTTGAGAAAGAACTTCTGGAACCCCGTGAGGGCCAGGGTGCTGCTTGTGGAGCTGATGGCAGGCTGTGTGTGCAAGACGTGGGGTGGAGACCCCAAATGCCAGCTGGTCCTGGGCTGCAAGACCTGTTAAGCAAAGCATCGTGCTTCACCTCAAGATAGAACACAGCTACTGATCACCTTATGTGGGGACTGAGTCACATCTGAGCGTCTAAATTAAAATACCCCTTGCTAGGTTGGGCGCGGCGGCTTGCGCCTGTAATCTCAGCACTGTGGGAGGCCAAGGTGAGAGGATTGCTTGAGCCCAGGAGCTCAAGACCAACCTAGGCAACATAGCGAGACCTTGTCTCTACAAAAAAAAAAAAATCAAAAAATTAGCTGGATGCGGCAGTACAGGCCTGTAGTCCCAACCGCTCGGAAGGCTTAGGTGAAAGGATTGCCTGAGCCCGAGAGGTTGAGGCCATCATGAGCTGTGATCATGCCCCTGTAATCCAGCCTGGGCAACAGAGTGAGATCCCAGCTCAAAAAGAAAAAACCAAAAATCTCTTGCTGCTTCTGTGCCCAGCTGAGCAGACTGGTGGTGGAAGAGGAGGGTTCTATTAGCTCCTTCCTTCAGGAAGCAATCGTCCTGATCTAATCCACTGCTGCTGTTCCCTAGATGCTTTCCCACAAGCCCTCTCACATTGTCTGGCCCAGAGGGACCTTCCTGGAACTCGCTGAGACTCTGACTTGCTTCTGAGGTTGCTGCTTTGCTGGGGAGCCAGGGACCAGAATTTAATACCCACTTGGCACTACGTATGCTCCAGGGATTTCTTCCACATTGTCTCACAAACAAAAATGTACCAAAACAGGCACACCACCATGAGAGAAGTCGGCTGCATAGGAATAGATTAGGGGAGATTGTGCCTCCTCCAACCTTCCTGATCTAGAGGTGGATTAGCCCCTGGAGCCCAACACAGTTGCGTTGCAGAAGGTTCAAGCTACCAACCCGTGGGGTGAAATGACAGAGGAGGAGCCTGAGCTGACAAGTCACTTTCAAGAAAAGAGAATCCTAATGCAAAATGGAGCGGGAAGGAAACACACCAAGACAAGCCCTGATGGATCAGCATGGTTACTTGGAGCTCTGTCGTTGTGGGCACTGAACACGGAGGCTTCTCAACCCTTCCACCTCCCCCTCACCGGACCTCAGCTTCTCCTCACTGAAGAGGAATCCCGCGGGCACTTAACAGGATGTAGACATGGGATCTTCCTTTCTTGTTTTGTTTGTAGAGGCAGGGTCTCCTTGTCACCCATGCTCTGGTGGTGCAATCAGGGCTCACCACGATCTCAACCTGCTGGGCTCAGACCTCCCGCCTCAGCCTCCCAAGTAGCTGGGACTATAGGCCATGTCACCACACTCAGCTAATTTTTCTGCTTTTTGTAGAAACAAGGTCTTGCTTTGTTGCTCAGGCTGATCTCAAACTCCTGGCCTCAAGGAATCCTCCTGCCTCAGCCTCCCAAAGTGTTAGGATTACAGGTGTGAGCTGCTGCACCCAGACTAGCACTTGAATCCGGAATACGGTCATTTCTACCCATCACTGCTCATTACTTCCCTAGAAGAGTTTCCCAACCCGAGGCTTGTAGCTGCCTGCATCAGAATCACCATGATGGGCATGCAGAGTCCCAGGCCTCCATTCGGCAGACTGGGAGGGGCCTGGGAATGTGTATGTTGAACAAGCTCCCAGGAAACACTGATGCTCACTGAGGTCAAGACGTGCGTAACATCAGGCGGCAGATAAAGAGGACACCTAGGCCAGGCTCGCTGGCTCAGCCTGTAATCCCAGCACTTTGGGAGGCTGAGGCAAGTGGACTGCCTGAGCCTGCTTGTTCGAGACCAGCCCGGGCAACTTGACAAGACCTTGTCTCTACAATAAAATTAAAAAATAGCTGAGCATGGTAGCGCATGCCTGTAGTTCCAGCTACTTGAAAGGCTGAGGCGGAAGGATCGCCGGAGCCCAGCAGGTTGATACTGGGGTGGCCGTGAGCGTGTGTGCCACGGCACTCCAGCCTGGGAGGAGGAGTGAGACTCCAACTTAAAAAAAAAAAAGAACACCCTGCCTCAACACTGGGGCAGTGGCCTTGATAATCCAAGTGCAGAGGTAAAAATAATGTCCCTTCCCTTCACACCCTCCTCAACTTCTCTAAAGAGACCTTGGTGCCTGTTATGGGCTGAACTGTATCCCCCCAAAATTCATGGGTTGAAGTCCTTACCCTCAGCACCTCAGAACGTGACTATGTTTGAAAACAGGGTCATTGCAGATGGAATTAGTTAAGACAAGGTCATACTAGAGAGACCCCGAATCCACTATGACTGGTGTCCTTAAGAAAGGAGACATTTGGACACAGACACACACCCAAGGAGAAGGCCACGGGAAGACGGAGGCAGAGATGGCGTGAGGCTTCTACAAGCCGAGAAACACCAGGGATGGTAAGCAAGGCCCAGGCAAGAGGCAAAGACAGCTTCTCCCTCCCGGCATGCCTTGACCTTGGACTTCGTCCTCCAGGAGAGACAATACACTGCTGCTGTGCTTTGTCAGAGCAGCCCCAGCAAACAAATGCAGCACCTGCATCAAGGAGTTCCTCCAGGCTCAGCAACAGCCAGCCAGACCCATGGAAGCAGGCGACCTGTTCTGACTGGTTCACAGCCCTGTCCTCTTTAAATGACCGATGAAAAGAACATCCTCGGCCTGAAACCATATCCCAGACTCCCAGGAACATATCCACTCAACAAAAGTATCCAGCTACACAGAGCTCAGGCCCCTTGTAAGGCTCTCCTGTCTTTCTGTAATGCTCTCCCCCAATATCCACCTGGCTCTCACTCCACCTTCCTCCCAGTCTTGGCTGAGATGCCCCTTATCAGAAAGGCATTGCTAGCCAGGTACAAAGTGGCTCATGCCTGCAATCCCAGCACTTTGGGAGGCTGAGGCAGAAGGACTGCTTGAGCCCAGAGTTCAAGACCAGCCTGGGCAACAGAGCAAGACCTCGTCTCTATAAAAATAATTTAAAAATTAGTCAGGCATGGTGGCATGTGCCTGCAGTCCCAGCTACTCAGAAGGCTGAGGTGGAAGGACGGCCTGAGCCCAGGAGGTCGAGGCTGTGATAAGCTGTGATCATGGCCACTGCACTCCAGCCTGGGGGACAGAGTGAGAACCTGATGTAAAAAAAAAAACAAAAAAAAAACCTATAAAGATATTGCCTCTCTATTACCAAGAAAAGCATGTCCCTGGGGTCACAGGCTTCTGGCCCGGCTCTGTCCCTCTTCAGAGTATCATCTGACCACCCAGCACGTGCACACACTTGTTCATGGCTATCACCTGAATCAAAGCATCACAAGGACTTTGTTTTGCTCACTGCCATCCCTCAGTGTCTAGGGCAGTGGGCATCAAGGGATATTAGTTGCATGAATTGAATGAATGAAATGTCTATTGAGGGGCTGCCGTGTGCCAGGGGAGGTGGCAGGCCCAGGGACACAGCAGTGCTCAACTCCAGGGAGCAGCAGAGTCTCTTGGGGCGAATTCCAAGGGCATTCAGCTGGAGTCTGGCCAAGGACCTCCCAGGGCAGGGCCTGGGAATCTGTATGTCTAACAAGTGTCCATGCAGGTGGTCACAGGCCACATGAGGATAAAAATGTCTCCTTGAGCTAGCTGCAGTAGCTTCCACCTATAATCTCAACAGTTTGGGAGGCTAAGGTTAGAGGATCACTTGAGGCCAGGAGTTCAAGACCAGCCTGGGTGACATAGCAAGATCCTGTGTCTCAAAAAAAGTTTGAGTTTGACCAGGTAGAGTGGCTCACACATGTAATCTCAGCACTGTGGGAGGCTACGGCTGGAGGGTTGCTTAAGGCCAGGGCTTCAAGACCAGCCTGGGCAATGTAGCAGACCCTGTCTCTTAAAAAACAAAAACCTCTCCTTGGTAGGTATGAATGGTAGGGACAGCCGCCATGCTCCTCTTTTTTTTTTTTTTTTTTTTTTTTTTTGAGTAGGAGCCTTACTCTGTCACCTAGGCTGGAGTACAGTGGCACACTCACAGCCACCACAGCCTTGACCTGCTGGGCTCAGGCGATCCTTCCTCCTCAGCCTTCCAAGTAGCTGGAACCACAGGTGTGTACCTCCACACCAGGCTAATTTTTTTTTTAATTTATTATAGAGACGACGTCTCACCAAGTTGCCCAGGGTGGTCTTGAACCCCTGTGCTCAGGTAATCCTCTTACCTCCACCTCCCAAAGTGCTGAGATGACAGGCGTGTACCACATTGCCCGGCAAACTACCACCCTTTAATATAAAATGAAGCTCCGGGAGGACGTGGGTCGCAGTTGGCATACTACCCTGCAGGCGGCTTGTGGGACCAAAACAGTACCGCCTACGCGCCGCTGCCAGAGTTAAAAAAGGAGAGGGGAGGGGAGGGGAGGAGAGAGAGGAGAGAGGAGAGGGAGAGAGGGAGAGAGGGAGAGAGAGAAAGAAAACACAGGAAAAAGGAATGAGTTAAGACTTCCTCTGCCAGGTCACTCTGGCCTGAGTCACTGTGAGAGCAGGACTGCAGAGCAGTTTCCTGGAATTAGGGCTGGGGGGAGGCAAGGGGAGGGCGTGGGTGAATGCACACCAGGCCTGTTCACTTACCCCCTCCCGCCACTTCCAGCTCCCCATCTCTCAGAGACGAGCCTCTCACGTCCAACACCAAGGCAGGAAAACGGACTTGGCACCACCGCACCGGGTCCCTCGCTCTGCCAGGGCCTCCCCTATTCTCTTTCTTCCATCCAGGTTACCCAAGTTACCCAAACCTCCAATTTGGTTGTCTGATTTATTCCTTAAGACTCTCCAAGGAAGCCTCCTCTCTTCCTCCCACCTACTTCCCCATCTCTTGCACTCCACTGCTCCTGGAGTACCTCCTTCTAGTTTTGTTTGTGGGCTTGTCAATTCTTTGTTTTTTCTGAGTTGGGGTCTTACACCGTCACTGAAGTTGGAGTGCAGTGGTGTGATCGCGGCTCACTGCAGACCTGACCTCCTGGGCTCAAGTGATCCCGTGCCTGGTTAATTTTTCATTTTTATTTTTTGTAGAGACCAGGTCTTGTTATGTTTCCTAGGCTGGTCTCAAACTCCTGGGCTCAAGCATTTCTCTTGTCTTGGCCTCCCACAGTGCTGGGATTACAGGTATGAGCCACCATGCCCAGCCTGGGCTTGTCAGTTCTGTGATCAGATTGTGAACTACTGTAGGGCATGAATGACGTCTTGCTCTTCTTCCTGTGCCCGGCACCTACTACACAGCCTGGAACATAAAAGTGATTTTAAATGTTTGTGGAATTGAATAGAAAAACAAAGAAAAAAGAGGTACCTGACGATGTTTTGTCCAAGTCATAGCTGGTGGCAGAGACCTTGGGCTATGAGCATCGTTGAGCCTCGTGTCCAGCCTGCCCCCACCCCTCACATCCATATGAGATGAAGGGGACGCAAATGTGCCCAGCTGAATGTGGGGGCCACCAATCAGACATAGAGGCCATGACAGAATCCCTGCCCCTCGAAACTTCAAGGCCAGGTTTCGGGATAATTTAAATGCCCTCCCAGCACTTTACATAATATTCTCTGTACATAATGTGGACAGAAGAAATTGATCCTGGCTATAAAACACTGCTAAAAGGGTTCTATGAAAATGACTTCCAGGCCAGGCATGGTGGCTCATGCCTGTAACCTCAGCACTTTGGAAGGCTGAGGTGAGAAGACTGCTTGAGGCCAGGAGTACAAGATCAGCCTGGGTAATATAGCAAGGACCCTCCCCCACATCTCTACAAAAAAAATAACATACAAAAGCTAGCTGGGCACAGTGGTGTGTGCCTGTAGTCCCAGCTACCCAGGAGGCTGGGGTGGAAGGATCTCTTGAGTCCAGGAGTTCAAGGTTGCAGTGAGCTAAGATTGTGCCACTGTACTCCAGCCTGGGTGACAGAGTGAGGCCATTACTAAAAAAAGTTAAAAAAGAAAATAAAGTTAGGGGAGGAAATACAAACATACTTGCTATATTTCCTGCCCCGGTGGAGCTTAGCACTCTCAGTCAGTCTGCTAAATGCATGAAGAAGCTGACCAGGAGCAGAAGGAGTGCCTTCAGGACAAATGCTTGAAGTTGACCAGATGTGGATGATGTCACGTGAGCACGTGGACAGGGTACTCACAGGGGAGGTGGCAGGGCTGAACTCTCACCCAGCTTGAAACCCTGGTGCCTGCAGTCCCTCCCTGCTGCCACCCCTGACCCAGGCTACCGCTAATCTGCTGTCTCTCTAGATTCATCTTTTCCAGACATTTAATAGAAAGACAGAACTTTTGGGGATGAAAAAAATGTCCCACAACTGGGTGACAGTGATGCTGGGATATCGCTGTATATTGACTAAAAATCATTGTATCCTACATGTAAAACAGTGGAATGGTATGGCACGTACATTATATCTCAATAAAACTTAAAAAAAAAATAAACCCTCCAGGGCTTACTGTTTATTTCACTTTGGCCCGGAGCCCTTCCTGCAGAATATGGCCTTCTGATAGGACTTCCGGAGGCAGAGAGTGAGTGGCAGGCCTGGGGTCCTTTACTGGTTATTTTTAGCAGTCTGATGCAAAGATCAGAAAGACACAATCCCTCTACATCAATATGTCTGCATCAGACCAGGTCATTTAAGCCCCTGAGTGGAGCAGTCATCTCAACTGAGGTCAACTCTGAGCACCACAGCCACTCCTGAGGATACATTTGAGGTCCCTGACAGTATTCATTTGCAAAAGTGAGGTGTCAGATGGGCCTGCTCTCTCTGAAAGTGCAAGAGAGGAATCTGTTCATGTCCCTCCCCTAGCCCAGGTGGCTGCTGACAGTCTTTCATGATCCATGGCTTGTGGCGACATCACTCAACTCTCCACCTGTCTCCACAAGGCCTCTGTCTACTGTAAGGACACCAGGCAGATGGGTTTTGGGCCTACTCTATTCCAGCATGGCCTCATCTTAACTAATTACATCTGCAAAAATCTGAGTTCCAAATAAGGCCACATACTGAGATTCAGAGAACATTAATTTGGGGGGACACTCTCCTACCCAGGTCCCTGACCCTGCTCATGCACTGGCTCCAAGGAACAGTGGCTCAAAGATGGGCCTGGGTTCTAGCCCTAATGGTGCTGCTGACTGTAGACAGAAAGAGGGTGGCCTGACCCCCGTACCCATGGCGCCCCCATACCTGCCACACCAGGCTGACTGGACTTGCCGGGCTCTTGGGGTGACCCAAGCATCACTCTGACATCAAAACACCTTCTAACCATGGACAGTACCCAGTGAGGAGAGGCCCAGAGCCAAGGATCTTCTCAAAGGAGGCTGAGGCACACACCACAAACTGGCTTTTGCACTGGGACCGGTTTCACGGGCCCACTCAGAAGGGTCCAGGTTTGTTTCAACCCTTTGTTCTCGCCATTCTGAAATTCTTTTTTTTTTTTTTTGAGTTGGAGTCTCACTCTATTGCTCAGGTCAGAGTACAATGGCACACTCATTGCCACCCCAGCATGGACCTGCTGGGCTCCAGTGATCCTTCCACCTCAGCCTTCCAAGTAGCTGGAACTACAGGCACACCCGGCTAATTTTTTATTTATTATAGAGATAAGGTCTCGCCAAGTTGCCCAGACTGATCTCGAACTCACCGACTCAGGCAATCCACTTGCCTCAGCCTCCCAAAGTGCTGGGATTACAGGCCGAGCCACCAAGTCTGGCCCTGAAATTCTTAATAGTTTTTTTGGGTTTTTTTTCCCAGCAAGGGGTCCCCCATTTTTTTTCTTTCTTTCTTTTTCTTTTTTTTTGGAGTCAGTCTCAATTGTTGCCCAGGCTGGAGTGCAGTGGCACGCTTATAGCCACCACAGCCTCGACCTGCTGGGCTCAGGTGATCCTTCTTCCTCAGCCTGGGTCCCCACATTTTCATTTTTCACTAAGTTCCACAAATTATGTAGCTGGACCGCCTGTCTTCAAAAATCTCAAAGTCACACAAGATAAAGAGGCTGAAGAAGCCTCCCATACTAAGGGATATCAAAGAGACATGACAACCAAGTGCAAGTCCTAGATTGTGGGGGAAGGAAGGTATAGCTATAAGGACATTATAGGACACTTGGTAAAACGTGAAAGTGAACTGGGATCACAACAAAGAACTTCATCTACGGGAAATGTCCTGTGGTTAAGGAAATGCTTTGTTCTTACAAGATACATAGTAAAGTACTGGAGTATGGGAGCATGTCTGCAACTTGGTTGCAATTAGTTCAGGGGAAAAAAAAGTGTACGGGTTCGAGACCAGCCCGGACAACTTGGCAAGACCTAGCCTCTACAATAAAATTTAAAAATTAGCCGGGCGTGGTAGTGCACGCCTGTAGTTCTGGCTACTTGTAAGGCTGAGGCGGAAGGATCACCAGTGCCCAGCAGGTCGACACTGGGATGGCCGTGAGTGTGCCACTGCACTCCAGCCTGGGCGACAGAGTGAGACTCCAACTCAAAGAAATTTAAAAAGTGTATGACTAAAACACAAATTATAAAGCAAATGAGTCAAACCTAAAAAATTGGTAAAAATATTCGGGGGCTCTTCATGCCATCCTTGCAACTTTCTAGAGGTTTGAACTTACGTCGAGATAAAAAGTGACCAACACCCTCCGCCCAAACTCAGTCCCCAACCCGCCGCCAAAACTCAGCAAAGTGGAGGGAAGCCCTCACGATGTCCGGAAGCAGCGCAGACACTTCAGCTGAAGCTGAAAAGCAGCTACCGGCGGTCTTGAATCACGTGGGGAGAGCCCACGTGACCGGAGCCCGTGTCCAACATGGCGGCCTCCACGGACCGCTGGCTTCTCTTCCTGCTTGCGCTGCTCGGCATCCTCGGGGAGGCGTCCGGCGGCCTCGGCTCGGGGTGAGTGCCACTCCTGGGGCGAGCCCGGCTCGGGGGTCCCCTGCCTTCCGCGCTCACGGCCGCCCCGTCCCCGCAGGGCCTCCCGCGACGACGATCTGCTGCTGCCCTACCCCCGCGCGCGCGCACGGCGGCCCCGGGACTGCACGCGGGTGCGCGCCGGCAGCCGCGAGCACGAGAGCTGGGCCCCGCCCCTTGCGACCCCCGTCGCCGGCGGCCTGGCCGTGCGCACCTTCGTGTCGCACTTCGGGGAGCGCGCGGTGGCCGGCCACCTGACGCGGGCCGCGGCGCCCCTGCGCGCCTTCTCGGTGCTGGAGCCCGGCGGGCCCGGCGGCTGCGCGGCTAGGCGCCGAGCCACGGTGGAGGAGACTGTGCGGGCGGCCGGCTGCCGCGTCGCCCAGAACGGTGGCTTCTTCCGCATGGACACGGGCGAGTGCCTGGGGAACGTGGTGAGCGACCAGCGGCGGGTGAGCAGCTCCGGGGGGCTGCAGAACGCGCAGTTCGGGATCCGCCGCGACGGGACCCTGGTCACCGGGTGAGGAGGCAGAGAGCCCCCGTGCTGTCGAGGGCAGAGGGCCTGAGATGTGGGTTGTAGCTGCGCCGCCGTGTGCAAGTCGCTTAATGAAGCTGAGCCTACGTTTCCTCATCTGCGGAATGGGGATAGTTAATACCGTCCTTAAAGAGTTTGTTCATCATCTGGTATGACTGAGCACTTGTTTGTGTCAGGCAATGTGCGTGCGCCCCGAGAATATGGCAGTGAACAAACACATAAAGTCTATCTTAACGGACGTCCCCATTACTAGGAAAATAAACAAAAGCCAGGTAAATGATAAAGAGAAAGTCTGATTGTTGTGTGAGCCGTGAGGCAATGAACCGGGTAAACTCGTCTTAAATAGTGTTGATTTTAGGGAGAATGATCAGGAACAGGACTGTCTGAGAATGTGACCTCTGAGATGAGACTTGAAGATTAATCACAAATCAGCCAAGGTCAGTGTAAGACGAGTGATTAAAGAAAATTAATTAGAGGGAAAGGAAAGAAAGGCTGGCCCTAAAGAAGAACCAGCAGCTTTGTTCTCTTGCAGGCCCCTTATAAAACTCCAGTCGAGGCTTATCTGACTCCAAGAAGCAGTTTAGGGAGTTTGAGCGGTGGCCTGGCCTCGAGATGCAAGTGTCGGCACTGTTGGGTGCTGCTGGTCCCACGGCCCTGAAGGGCAGATGTTCACACTAAACCAGTCCCTATCAGGATGTTGTTAATCACTGTCTCTGAAATGCAGCCTTAGAAAAGCAAACACTTACAGTCATACCAAGCAGTTACCAGTCACATAGCTTTGGGATGCAGTCGGGAAATCAGATGTTGGCAGTAAGGCAATTAGTAACAGGACGCTGTTAGAGCAGAGTGTTAGCTTTTGGGGCATTGCAGCTCTGTGCTCAGTTTGTGAGGTTCACATGATGAGTTGTTTTAACTACAACCTCCTCTCCCATCCCCCTACAAGCCCTATCAGTCAGAACTGGAAGGAGAGTATTCTGGTCAGAAGGAACAGCAAGTGCAAAGGCTCAGAGGTGCAGGGGGGCTTGGTGTGTTTGTGAAGAATGAAATAGGAGCAGAGTGTCAGAGGATGACAAGACTGATTATTTGGGTTATTTAAAATTATGTGACTTTTTAAAAGCTTGCTGTAATCCCGCTTGGAGACTAGGTAGGAGGAGTCAGAGTAGAAGCAAGGAGGCCAGTGAAGAGACTGTGACAGGTCTCATGTGATAGACTGGGTTGAGGGCCTGGAGATTGAGGGCCATAAAAGGATGAGATCTGTTGTAGGGTGGTTGTTTCAACCAAACAAAACATCTACAGTTTACAAAGGTATGTGGGGCATGTTAGAACCCTGCTGGCTTCAATTGTGACAACAGGGAGATTCCCAGGGCTGTAAAATGCCCCAGCCACACTCAGGCCCAGACACTTCTGGGGCAGGAGACAGAGGGACCAAGCAGCCAGGCTGAGGCAGGTGGAGGAGAAGCCCACTCCTGCTGCTGCTCTTGCTGGTGAGTGAGCCTCATGCCTTGCCCGTGCCCAGGTACCTGTCGGAGGAGGAGGTCCTGGACACCGAGAATCCATTTGTGCAGCTGCTGAGCGGGGTCGTGTGGCTGATTCGCAATGGAAGCATCTACATTAACGAGAGCCAGGCCACCGAGTGCGATGAGACGCAGGAGACAGGTGGGGGGAGGGGAGGCTGTTGGCAATAGTGCTCTTGAGAACCAGGGACGGTGGGAGGAGCCCCTCTTAAGTCCTTCAGCGAGTGTTTATTGGGCAGCTATTGTGTACCCAGCACTGTTCTGGGCACTGGAGAGTCGTGGGTGTTAAGGCAGCCTCATATGGAATATCAAGAAATGAAATGGTTATATAACATACTGAAGAGAATTGTTAAGTGCTGAAAAAGGAAAGGAGAGGTGGGGGGAGGGGAGGAATGAGGACAGGAGCTATGGCAGGGGATAGAGAAGCAGCATCAGCATCACGCGAGAATTTGTTCTAAATGTCTTGCCCATCTCAGACCTACAGAATTAGAGTCCCTAGAGAGGAGGCCCAAGAGTCTGTATTTCAGTGAGCTCCTCTGATGGATGCTCAAGACTGAGAACCACTGGGATGCAGAAGGGACACAGGCTGGTTTGTTTGGTTTTTTTTTTTTAATTGGAGTCTCACTCTGTCGCCCAGACTGGAGTGCAGTGGCCGCTTC